TTCATAGGGTCGCTATGAGTCGTCTACGACTCGATGGCATTAAAAAACAACAGTGTATTTCAAGGTCTGAATCATCAGGAGACCATCTGAGATTCTGTGCGTGGTTTTTCTGTGACGATATGAACTTCTGACCTCTGAGGTGATGGTTGCTGACGTTCATGGTTTGTGCCAGCAGGGGATTCTGTAGGATTTTGCCAAGAGGCATAACAGAGGTGCATCGCAAGCTCTGTGGGAGACAGGGGTTCTGTGGTTGAATGTCGTTAATGACCTACAAGGGGTGACCAAACACCCCAAGTTTGGAAAGAGTAGGAAGGAAGTAAGAGATTACCAAATCATCCAAATGTGACAGAATATTCCACCTAAGAATGGGGTTGGCCTGGTGGTTAAAAGATTTGGTTGCGACCTGGAAAATGAAAGGTTCAAACCCACAAACATTTCTGTAAGAAAAACAGGTGAGAGTCGGCTTCTGTAACTGGTTACCACAACGGACCCCTATGGAACGTCACCATCTGTCTTTCCTGTAGGGCCCGTCGTAGATGGCTAAGCCGTGTCTCTCATGATTTTGGCATGCAGATAAGAGCCTATTGCTTTCGAAGTGACATCATGAGTAGAAAGGAAGAATTATCAGTGAAAAGGAGGAAGCTATTTAATGACATGTCACAGTGACGGTAGCACTAGACTCAAGTGTATCACGAGATGAATAGGAATGAGGAGCAGAGACCAGGGGGGAGGACTGTTCATGCTCAGGGGTTTTCTCGACTCAAAGGTACTTCACAATTAGTTGCCATCAAACTCATGTCACTGGATTTGGTGATCATATATGAACAGCCCCAAGTATCCAGAAAGATCTTCTTTGCAATCCCTCTACTATAAAGCACAGTACTAGTAAACCTAGGAAATAAACGCATATAGCATATAATATTTATGCTATTTCTTAACAGATTAAAAGAATAAACTAGGGAGCTCTGGTGGCCTAGTGGCAACAAGTTGCCCTGCTATCTTGAAGGCACAGAGTTTGAATCCACCGGATGCTCTGCTGGAAAAAGGAGGACCTATCTCTTTCTGTGCCAGTTTTATACCACTCAATGGTTGTTGTTATTGTTAAGTGTCATCAAGTCACTTGGACTCATAGC